TTCCTGCAGCATGTTTGTATCAGCACGCAAAGTTTTGATTTCGTCAGTATGACGGCAGAGAATGGAATGCATGCTTTCAATGCGCTTTTCTAATCTGTTACTACGGGCCTCGGATTTGTCGTCCGCTTCTTTGAAGAATTTTGCCATAGTCTCTTCAATTACTTTGGCGAGAGCGGAATTCTCCACGCCAAGTTCCTTGTTTAAGTCCGTCATAATGGCTTGCTTCGCAGCAGTGTTTTGTCTCGTTTTCCTCATTAATATGCACTTTGGCAGTATTGTCTCGTGTTAGCACCGGCTTTATCCCATTTCCAAGGAATTACATGAAAAGTTTTGTACTGGGGAGAGCGTGTTGTCTACGCTGCCACCATGACACCGGAAACCCTCCTCCTCCTCCTCACTTGCTTATATTGTTATAAAGGTTATTATCTGGATCTATATCACAATGAAACTGATCAGGATTATCATTATTTGTACTTGAGACTAGTAAATATGTTTTTAAATTCATTTTCATAAACCATTGTTTTTGTTTATTTGGTTTATCATCATTGATCCACTGCACCAGATGTAAAGTTTATTTAGATAAACTTTACATCGATAAAGCTTTTATTCGATCTTAAGTAAAATGGTTTGAAGAAGATTAACAGAAACAAAGGCAAACTAAAAATAACAGACTTCCCACTGATGGTCACAGAAGATAAAAAAATCATTTCTACTTGTGGTGAAAACCTTTATAAAAACAGATAAAGTCATAAATCTCACTGATGCGTGTGAATGATTTTAACATGTAAATCAGGAGAAATGTATTTGTGACTCACCAGGTACAGACGGTAAACCTCAGAGTTTTATAAAGTCTTCTCAGCTCCGTTTCTCTTAAAGGTATTTTCAGAAAGTATAAACAAAGAACCTTAGATCCCAAACCTCAGAAAGACTCTGTTAGACCCTGGGGTCCCATAACTCTCTCAATCACGACTCTCTCAATCTACTCAGATCAGACTCACTCTAGACTTGTTAGATTAGGAAAGGAAGATTAGAAGGAAAATACTCAGAAAAATTAACCAGGTTACACTAACATTAACCATCTTACTCAGACCACCTTAACCCTAACCTTAACCATCTTACTCAGACCACCTTAACCCTAACCTTAACCATCTTACTCAGACCACCTTAACCCTAACCTTAACCATCTTACACAGACCCACCTTAACTCTAACCTTAACCATCTTACTCAGACCACCTTAACCCTAACCTTAACCATCTTACTCAGACGCCTAAAACTTAACCAGTCGAGTCTTGATTCCAGGCTGATTCCAGGCTGATTCCAGGCTGATTCCAGGTTAGGATACGCAACTTCACCCCCATAAATATCTATTATTATTATCATTATTATTATTATTGATCTTTCCAAATTCCCAGAGATTGAGACACAGATGAACTTTAGGGCGAGGCAGACGATCAACAGAACAGGAAACAAAGTCAAACCGATTCAAAAGAAAACTCCATAACAACCCCAGCTTTAGTTCAGATGCACTGAGGAGCACAGGGACTGGACTCCTGCTGGGACTCTGAGGAGCACAGGGACTGGACTCCTGCTGGGACTCTGAGGAGCACAGGGACTGGACTCCTGCTGGGACTCTGAGGAGCACAGGGACTGGACTCCTGCTGGGACTCTGAGGAGCACAGGGACTGGCCTCCTGCTGGGACTCTGAGGAGCACAGGGACTGGACTCCTGCTGGGACTCTGAGGAGCACAGGGACTGGACTCCTGCTGGGACTCTGAGGAGCACAGGGACTGGCCTCCTGCTGGGACTCTGAGGAGCACAGGGACTGGCCTCCTGCTGGGACTCTGAGGAGCACAGGGACTGGACTCCTGCTGGGACTCTGAGGAGCACAGGGACTGGACTCCTGCTGGGACTCTGAGGAGCACAGGGACTGGCCTCCTGCTGGGACTCTGAGGAGCACAGGGACTGGCCTCCTGCTGGGACTCTGAGGAGCACAGGGACTGGCCTCCTGCTGGGACTCTGAGGAGCACAGGGACTGGCCTCCTGCTGGGACTCTGAGGAGCACAAGGACTGGCCTCCTGGCAGCATTTCAGATTCATGCTGCTAAAATCTTCCTGAAAATGTGAGACAGTCTTCTCTGAGAATGTTCAAATCCAGGTTAAAAACAGTTCTGTTAAACTGCTATAACTGAGGTATTGTACTTTTTAATGTACTGTGATTATTTATGATTTTAATCTTGTTTTGTAAAGCACTTGTCATGGTGTGGATTTTATTTTGGACTTTAGCTTTATTTTGATATTCTGTTCTCTGTGCTTTTTTTAGTTTGACTTTGACGTCCTGTTTCCCCAGTCTTGATTGCCTGCCCCGCCCTAATGTGTTTCACCTGTGTCTGTCTATAATTACCCTGTGCTCCTCTCCTCTTGTTGCTGGTCCATTGTATTGTCTACTTCTGTTTCATCCTGTTCCTTATTTTGTGTTCCTGGTTCCGTATTTTAGATTTTGAGTTTTGTTTTTACCTTGGACTTTATTTTATTAAATCTTCATTTTGGCATTCTCGCATTTTGAGTCCTCCTCCTTCCCACCCCGTGACAGAATGGACCAGCCAACAAGAGGACTCAGCGGAATGCCGTTTACCACACACCTGCTCCCTGTTCATCGCAACCTGTAAGATTTTTATTCTTTCACCATCTCATCACTGCCAACCTCTCAACCCGTTACCTGGTACCACCGCCAGACAAGTACCTCCGTCTGGGGTGGTGTTCCCTCCGTACCACCGCCGGGCACTTGTCTCCGCCCGGGGTGGTCCTCTGTCCCCCCCTGACCTGTTGAGAGGTCTACAGTGACGTTCTGCTCTTGCCTGGATGGTTTATGTCTGCTTGGATTTCCTCGCCTGTGTCTGCTGCTGCACTTCGATGCCCTCTCCTACCCTTCTCCTGTTTCCACCGCCAGACATGGTTCTCCGTCTGGGGTGGTTCTGTCCTGTCTGAGTCACCGCCGGGCATTTGTGTCCGTCCGGGGTGAGCCAGTTCCCTGATGGAAGGTCACCGCTGGGCTTCAGCCTCTGCCCCTAGTTTGGACTCTGCCTGGGACCTGAGGTTTATGCAGCCTCTAAGCTGCCTCTGGTCCCTCCGCCGGACCCCCTCCGCCCTCCCTGGCTTGCTTTTCTTGGGACATCTGGGAGCTGTCCCTTGGAAGGGGGGTACTGTTATGGTGTGGATTTTATTTTTGTATTTTTGTTTTATTTTGACATCTTATCTGTGAATTAGTTTTAGCTTGACTTCCTGTCCTGTTTCCCCTGTCTTGATTGTTTGCCCTGCCCTGATGTGTTTCACCTGTGTCTGTGTCTATTTGTACCTGTGCTCCTCTCCCCCTTGTGCTGGTCCATTGTCTTGTCAACGTCCTGTCTTGTCTTGTTCATGTCTCTGTCTGTTTCCGTCCTGTTCCTGGTCCTGTTTTGGTTTTGGATTTTGAGTTGGTTTCATCTGGACTTTTTTTATCAATAAACCCTTATTTTTGGCATTCCTGCAATTTTGAGTCCTACATCATCTCACCTCATGACATTGAGCTGGGTAAAAACAAGTTGGATGTAGTGGTTAAAATCATTAAAATCCAAATTTCTCTTCTTCAGAAGGGGTCTCACCACAGCCGCTTTGAAGGCTGCAGGAAAGACCCCAGTCTGAAGAGAGCAGTTCATCAGGTTTAAAAGCTCCTCTCTAAAAGATTCATAAAATGACTTAAAAAATGGAGTGGGGACTGGATCTAAAAGACATGTGGTGGGCCTCACTGAGGAGAAAACTTTATCAAGCATCTCAGCATCAACCAGGACAAAACTGTCCAGTGTTTCCTCTGGTGAAGACAAACAATCAGATGTGTTAAAAACAGTAGTGCGGTTGGATAAAATGTTACATCTGATTGTGTTTATCTTCCCCGTGAAATGGACTGCTCCTCACAGAGGGAGTCTGTGGGGGTTAAAGGAGACATGCTAAAATCAGGGTTTAAAATGGTGTCGATGGTTGAAAAGAGGATTTTTGGATTATTTTTGTTCTGGCTGATTAGTTTTGCAAAGTATTTGTTCCTGTTTTTCCTGATTGTGTTGTTGTAAATTTGCTGTTGGTTTTTATACATTTCGTGATTGTCGTTTTATTTTTCCTCCACCTTCGCTCTGCCACCCTCACTGTAGCGCTATATGTATAAAGAGTTTCAAGTGAAGCTCATGTATATATAATATAGATTCAATCAAATGTTGTGAGAGAAAAACTTGTAGCAGATAAAAGGCAAATACAGACACTAATGCAGCAGGAGATATAGAAAGAGAAAAACACTATCAATCTTAAAGTGTCACATTAGACTTTGGACCCTTGTCATAAACACTGTGGCTATTGGAACCATTTCAGAATGGGACCAGGGATGGTCAATATCTATACAGCTTTTCCAGACCCATATATTTAAATCAATATTGTCCCTTTATTTGCGTTTGTGATTGTTATTTCTACTTTTGTAATCTATGGCTCTCACAGAAACATACCCAGGCATTCAATCAACTATTAGTTTACAGTTAATTAGTCTTTGAGCAGTCCAGAGTGCGGCTCTTCCCTTTATGGCTCACAACTGGTGATACATTCAGTCTAAACAGATTGACATTTACTTTTTATCATTTACAATAATAGTAATACAATGAAAATAATATTACAATGACAACAAGCCACAAAACAATATATGAATTGGTGTAACTCAAAACTCATCGACGTCACCCCCACAGTGATTATTAACATGAGCAGCGACACAAGAACATCATTTTAACTGCAGAGTGTAACTCCTGATGGACGGTTAAATCTTACTGTAATAGATCATTTCAGGTGTCCAGCAGCAGAAACACATCCAGCCATACAAACAGTAAAATACATAATTCTAAAAGTTATTAACAATAGGAAAAAAAAGTAGAACAGTAGCAGAGGTGTTGTAGCTGCTGTTGAGGAGCATGCTGCTTTAACAGGAGAGAGGGCTACAAAAGGCTGTGACGGTCCACGTGGGAGTAGGATGGGTACAGGGCGTCTGCACCATGGGGAGGAGGGTCGTCTGAGGCTGAGGCAGCAGCTGGAGGGTACCGCACCGGGGCCTGGGCACGCCCAGCCGGGGCCTGGGCACGCCCAGCACGCCCAGCCGGGGCCTGGGCACGCCCAGACGGGGCCGGGGCACGCCCAGCCGGGGCCGGGGCACGCCCAGCCGGGGCCGGGGCACGCCCAGCCGGGGCCTGGGCACGCCCAGCCGGGGCCTGGCTGAGAGAGCTCGCTGTGCCTGAAGTGGGTTGGGCCAAAGTCTCATCTTCCTTTGACTTATTTGAAGGTGCCATGTGGCTGCTTTTTTCAGGTAAAACAACGATGGGTAATTCAATCTCAGGGTTAATCGCAAATTTGATGTCCAGTCGGATCTGTAAAGGCAGGACAGTCACATGTTTATAAGGTTAAAGTGTTTTATACATTTACATTCAAATACTTAAGAATAGTCATGTTTTTTTAGAGCAACTTGTGGCCCTGGGGCCAAATGTGGGCGCTGTCCATCCTTCAAATCTAGTTGTTGTTGTATGCAGTGTTGATGTCGACTTTTACCTTGAGTTTTTTTTTTTATAGTAACAAATCTATCTTTGTGTGTGTCTCCTAACCACACACAAAGACATGGACACAGTGGGTGATCAAACTGTTGAAGTTAGATGAAAAAGTCATAGAAAACAAACAAAAGGACAATGACGTCACTGTAGAAATCACAAAAACATTCTGATGACCGTGCCACTTTACAGGAATATTTATCAGGTGCTCAAAAAACTGTAGTTGAAGTGCCCTGTATCAGTGTGTTACCTTGAGCCGGTACTCCAGCCTGATGATGCTCAGTGTCTTACCTTGAGCCGGTACTCCAGCCTGATGATGCTCAGTGTCTTACCTTGAGCCGGTACTCCAGCCTGATGATGCTCAGTGTCTTACCTTGAGCCGGTACTCCAGCCTGATGATGCTCAGTGTCTTACCTTGAGCCGGTACTCCAGCCTGATGATGCTCAGTGTCTTACCTTGAGCCGGTACTCCAGCCTGATGATGCTCAGTGTCTTACCTTGAGCCGGTACTCCAGCCTGATGATGCTCAGTGTGTTACCTTGAGCCGGTACTCCAGCCTGATGATGCTCAGTGTCTTACCTTGAGCCGGTACTCCAGCCTGATGATGCTCAGTGTCTTACCTTGAGCCGGTACTCCAGCCTGATGATGCTCAGTGTCTTACCTTGAGCCGGTACTCCAGCCTGATGATGCTCAGTGTCTTACCTTGAGCCGGTACTCCAGCCTGATGATGCTCAGTGTCTTACCTTGAGCCGGTACTCCAGCCTGATGATGCTCTGTGTCTTACCTTGAGCCGGTACTCCAGCCTGATGATGCTGCAGTTCAGTATAGAACAGGGCAGTTCCTGTGGGATGGTGATGGTTTTTCTCACAGTTTTGCTACAGCCAGACTCCACCGGGTCACACTTTTCCTTTAAAATGTTGGACGTGGTCATTCTCCTTCTACCCTGGGCGAAATGACTCTTCGCTTTATAAAAGATCAGTTTCGGCTTCACCATTCGGGACGACTGGTTTTGGATTTCAACAGTAACTTTTAGAGCTTCACCTGAAAAAATAAAATAAAAATAAGCCTATACAATTCATCCAAAACTGGTTAATTTTATATATTTATTGAAATTTTTGTGCCCCACCATTTTTAGATAAATATAATGAAAATAACATTAAGACAATAATGGTGGACCTAAAACTCAGCAGTGGAAGAAGCACTCAATGTTTTTACATAAAAATACAGAAGCAAAAAAAAAAAAACTTGATTTCAGACCAGATTTGAACATAAATGCAAAATATTGTTTACAATTCTCAATAGGTAGTTGGATTGCATAATATTCTTGTGTTATCAAAATAGTGTTTACTCCACTTTGGGCGGATCCAATTTTCTGTACAGATCCATTTTCATCAAAAGAAAAAAAACTGTAGTTGAAAATGGACTGAATAAAAAAGTACCAGTTCCTGTAATTTATAGTGAAGTAAGAAGTATTGACTGTGGATTGAGTAAAAGTGAAATATCAATGTTATTTTTTGGTCGTTATAGTCCACAACAGTATTGCCTTGCCAATATCCCAGCCTCTCTATGTTGACGTCCATGGCCACAGTTCCGGATCCAAAAGCACTGATGGTTTTATCTTTAGATCCATGCTGAGGTTCCTATAAAAACACAACATTAATTTTCGGAGTGATTATGTGATTTGAGTGAAGTAATGAACGTTACCAGAAGTCCAGGGATATTCATGTCAGCTGGGGAGACAAATGTGATGTGCGTTTTGGCCGTTTTTGTCATCTTCATGGACTGCTTCAGCTCTGCCTTCAACTTGTGCACGATTTTACCAACCGAGGATTTAAACGTTGATGGGAGGTTACTGAAGATTATATTTCACATTGTAAAACATGAAATGATCAGGTAAATAAATAATTTAATAGCTAAGAATAAATGGAATACTTCTCCTTTAACTTACCTTTCAGTAATCTTGAAAGAAAAGGGAAACACATGTTTCCCTGGGCCAATCACATCAGTGCCTTTAATAAAGAATACAGAAATGATATGTTCATCTTCCTGAATAACAACTAATGCAGATATTCAACTTTACCGTGAGGCCTGGTTGGCAGGATGTGCTGCTCCACATTGTAGTACTTTTCTTTTGACATGTAGACCATGTGTACGTACTGTCCGCGTTGTTCACTCCAGCAGACCTTGGCCTGTCCCTGTGCTCTGAAAATCAGGGCTTGGACCTGAATCTTCTTCGATACTTCTAGAACAATTCTTCCTTTGATTTTGTCCCCAGTTGAAAAGATGTTCTTGCTGTTGATGGCATCATATTCGATAGAGAAATTCTGGATCGTCATTGTGTCACCCTCAGTCGAGCTCAGGACTGCAGAGTATAAGTTTAATGTGTTTAATGAACAACAAAAGCTTCCTGCTAAACTGGCTTCACCAGTTTGTAGCAGTCATGTGGTCGGTCCCATGTGCACATACGCAAGCTTTTCTAGTGGCATCATCATAATGGATTGTTGACTCATGGAGCAGAATAAAAGGTAATAAAGATATGACTTCAAAATTAGTTTGAAATGAAGGACAACATTTTTATTGTATAACTCCCACTAAATGCAAGATTAAAAACGGATGGTATACAGGCGCAAATTAATATATGTATTAATTGATATATATACAGTATATATATACATACATACATACATACACACACATGTATATATCTATATCTATATATATATATATAATTAATTAATAAATATATTAATTTGCGCCTGTATACCATCCGTTTTTAATCTTGCATTTAGTGGGAGTATAATTACACATACACACACACGAACGAACACATACACACACATACACAATCCCAAGGTAATGCAACCTGGTTACTTTTGAGACATATTAACCCAACACTGATAATAATGTTATAAACAAAACATGATGCTAAGGCTGTGGTAGAGTAGGGTACAGTCCATAAGCTGTATATGGAGGAGGGGGGTCCGAGGGGTTTACTGCTGGAGCTGAAAGAGGAGTCGTGGCCCCTGGCTGTGGAGGGATATATTGTGGTCCTTGTGGGGCGTAGGGCGTAGGGCATGGGGCAATAAATTGGAGGCTGAGCATTTCCATAGGCTCCAACTCCAAAGTCTGAAGCAGCTGGAGGTGGAGCCACAGACGGGCTGAGCACGCAGAATCACAATGGGTAATTTGATTTTTGGGTCTGAAGCATATTTAATATCCAGGTAGACCTGCAGAATACATTTATCATTTTAGTCCATTGGATTTATGGTCACGGTTCACTTCATGCCAAAGTTTACGCCATTAAAACATTAGGACTAATGGATATATGACACAGTGTACTCAAACCCTAATATGTTACTCCTAACCCCCATCTAAGATTTGAGCATGTAAACCCTATTGTATAAGTTTACATGTTCAAATTAGACAATTTTAGAGAATTAAATAAAAGGGAAACAAGTTTTAAAAAAAACATGGTTTGGTTCTTACTAAATTCAAACAAACCTATGTTCATAGTGCAGAAGGTGAAGCCCTTACCCTCAGCCTGTGCTCCACTTTGAGGGTGTCACAGTTATGGGCTCCATGTCGGAGGGGATGCTGACCCCTGGGTGACCTTCTGCTGGACCTCTTTGACCAGGTCTTTGGTGAGAAGTCTTCTTGCAAAAAAGCTTTGCTTACTGTAAAGACAAAACTTGGGCCGGATATCTCGAGAGGAGTTGTTTTGAATGGTAGCAAAGACTTGAATGCTCTCCCCTGAAAAAAAGTATTGAGACAGAAAGAAAGAATGCCAACCAGAAAATGTCAATCAATTGTCAAACTCACCTTGATAGTACCCGACTTTATCAATATCTACATCCATAGAGACCGTACCGGAGTTCAGAAGTTTTAGTTTCTTGTCTTTTGTCTCATGTTGTGGCACCTGAAAAATTAAATTATACAGTTCAACAAAACATGCCTCTATAAATATTACTGTTTTATATATATATATTTTTGTCCCAACAGAAATAAATATATGAGCTTATCAGCTTGCACTCTCTTTTCTGTTTGGAAAAGCTGATCCAAAAATAATAGCTTGTAAAAACTATTGATAAAACCAATTCAATCTGGAGAGACCAAGACAGACACGTTAATGCATTTAGAAAGATTTATTGTTTGGCGCATTGACCCCGGCAGTGACACTTGCAGAAGGGAGATCACTGCTGCTGAGATGATCTCAGATCCTCTGGGGTCAAGCACTGGTGGTGGCTAGAAGCATGGTGTGAATGGGGAGTAGGCGGAGCAGGAGCCAGAGCAGGAGCTCGAGGAGGTGCTGGGGAGGTGCTGGGGAGGTGCTGGGGAGGTGCTGGGGAGGTGCTGAGGAGGTGCTGGGGAGGTGCTGGGGAGGTGCTGAGGAGGTGCTGGGGAGGTGCTGGGGAGGTGCTGGGGAGGTGCTGAGGAGGTGCTGGGGAGGTGCTGGGGAGGTGCTGAGGAGGTGCTGGGGAGGTGCTGGGGAGGCGGTGGGTGTCAAGAGCTTCAGGAAGGGCTGGTTAGTAGCAAGTGGCTGCTTTTTAACTGCCGGCTTTGCTGTCAGTGGTTGGCAGGGGGGCTGGCTGAGCTGTGTGATTGGCTGAGGCTCGAGGCTGGCTGAGCTGTGTGATTGGCTGAGGCTCGAGGCTGGCTGAGCTGTGAGATTGGCTGAGGCTCGAGGCTGGCTGAGCTGTGAGATTGGCTGAGGCTCGAGGCTGGCTGAGCTGTGAGATTGGCTGAGGCTCGAGGCTGGCTGAGCTGTGTGATTGGCTGAGGCTCGAGGCTGGCTGAGCTGTGTGATTGGCTGAGGCTCGAGGCTGGCTGAGCTGTGAGATTGGCTGAGCTGTGAGATTGGCTGAGGCTCGAGGCTGGCATCGCAGATGTTGGAATGTGAAGAATGTCCATATAAAATCCTACCCTGAGTTCCGGATTGTTGTCCATGGTGTCTTGCGTCACATAGTTGAGCTTTGTCGTATCTTTCTTGGGAATCCTCATTGATCGACTCAACTTGGCTTCAAGTAAATACACAATTTTACCAGTGTTAGCGTGGAAGGAGGAGGGTGTGTGCCTGACAAAAATAATAGAGATGACATTTACAGTATTATTGGTTTTAATAATATTTTCGAGAAGACAAAGTAGTTATAGTATACTTACTGCATGGGAAACTGAAAAGGGTATATATGGATGCCAGGTGGAAGAACATTATTATCAACTGGTGGGGAAAAATGTCATAATCTTACTTCAATAATAATATCAACAGTAGTATTCTAACACCAAGGACTTACACGATGGGTTGTCTCCCACTTGAAGTCTTTCCCTATCATCACACTCTGGAAATAAAAACACACATTTTACAGTGAGTAGTATCGACAATGATTCATACAGGTGTGGGAGTGCATAAGTGAGTAAACGTTTTCAAGAGTCAATTTTGGATTATGGATGAACATGTATTGTATGTTAGAGTATTGTAAAGTAAAAAAACAAAAGAGAAAAAAAAAAAAAGAATGACAGACTTCCTCATTCACACAGACTTCCTCCAGCTCAGGTCCATTGAATATACTATCAATACACTATAAACAATCTGTGTTTGTTGCAATAATACAGTAATGGACTTGCCAATGTTTTTTACTAAACCTAAAACACCCGTGGCCACAGTAAAAGTTTGCTTGAGTGGAAAAGAATTAATTAATGTTGAGGAATTTAAGTATTTGGGAGTGCTAATAGACTCGAAATTATCCTTCAAAAATCACGTGAAAAAAATAATGAAAACTGTAAATGTTAATTTACGGAACTTCAGACATATCCGAACATCATTAACGGATACAGCAGCATTTACATTCATGCACTCTACGATACTGGCTCATACTGAGTACTGTATCACAGGCTGGTCTTATACGAGTCATGCTGCCATTGGGCCAATCGAAGTATGTTACAAAAGAGCTTTGAAAATATTAGACAAGAAACCTTCGTCATACCACCATTGTCAAATCTTAGTGTTAATGCTGGTTCACCAGGTTTCCTTAAACAGTCGTCCGATGAAAGGAAGGGAATTACAAACTTAGATAGATATAAAAGAAGGTTTAATATATAAAACAGAATACATATAAAAGACAGGCAGAGAGAAGAGCCTGGGTCTGTGCGGACGAGAAGCAAAGCACAAAGACCACGCTGATAGTTAGGCCTGCCTTCTTATACCAAAGTTCTAAAACACACATGTGACAATATGGTGACAATACGACCTATCGAACTCTAGGTGAGAAAACCAATCTCCTCTCATCTGTCAGGAGAAGTGTCTTCTTGTCACAACCCAGATGTCTTCTGGCTTCATGCTTGTTTTGTTTACTCTGCTCTTGTTTACTCTTGCCTCGGGGCTGGGAGAATTCTGCATTCTCGCCACCCTCAAATGCATGAGTTGGTTAACTAGACTAGACCCTACTAATCTACACACATTTATTAATATGATAATACACATAACATTTCTTGACACTTAGACAAATATAAATTATAAAAATTTGACAATTTCAAATTGTTTAAATCAGCATGCCTAATCTATAAGGTTATACATGGTCTAGCGCCTCCACCAATGAGCGATTTTATTAAACCAAAGTCTAGTAGTACTGCCAGTTCTCGAGTGACTCGAACCACTGCGAGAGGCGACTGTGAACTGACATTTAGGAGGACCGCTTTCTCACAGAACGTCCTGTCATATCAGGAGTGAGCTTCTGGAACAGTGTTCCGGTGTCAGTGAGGGAAAGAACCAGTCTGCCTTCAGGAGTCATTTAAAAATATGTCTGAGGGACACTCAAACATGTGACCATGTTTAGATAGAGCTGGTGCAGTGCGGGAAACGGTCATCAGTGGGCTGTGCAATACAGGTCCATACAAGGTGGGTCAGTGCAATAAGGAGTGGTCCAACACGGGTTAGTGTAATGAGGGCTAGTGCAATATAGAGTGGTGCAATATGGGTCAGTGCAATATAGAGTGGTGCAATACGGGTTAGTGCAATACGGGTCAGTGCAATATAGACTGGTGCAATACGGGTCAGTGCAATATAGAGTGGTGCAATACGGGTTAGTGCAATACGGGTCAGTGCAATATAGAGTGGTGCAATATGGGTCAGTGCAATATAGAGTGGTGCAATATGGGTCAGTGCAATATAGAGTGGTGCAATATGGGTCAGTGCAATATAGAGTGGTGCAATACTGGTCAGTGCAATATAGAGTGGTGCAATAGGGGATGCAGTGCAATATAGTGTGGTGCCATATGGGTTTCCTGTGTAATATCAGGTCGGTCTGGGCCATTGTGCAATTACTCGGGTGTTGTGATAACAGATGATGTGTTTCTGTTACTGTTTTCTACATTGTGCTTTACTGTCCACTCTTGCTGGTTGTTCTAACATGTGATCACTTGTCCCTGTCTCTCTGTATATAAATTGTGTTCTCTGGTTAGTTTTTACTAACGTGTGTGTAAACACCAACCTGCCAAGGGGTCATGCAGTTGGAAATTAGCCTAAGGCTATAATCTGGCTTTTTACATTTGGAAAAAATGGTCACATAATATGATATTGTTCCCCCTTTTATCAAATAAATAAAATTAATTAGGTCTAAAGGGCCAACTCTCTTGTTTGAGTTTTGCATTCATTTTCAAGGTGAGGTGATATGTCTAAAACTCATCGCATTGTAATATTGGTAACATTTTATCCTAGAGCGGTAAATGTAAAAAAAAATTAAATAAACCACATCTCAGTTTAATGTGTATGCACTTCCAATACAAATATACAGCTATTATAATTTATGCATGCTTTAATTTTTGAGCACCTAACTGTAACCCACACAAACAAGAAGAGAAAAAAAAGACACAAAAAATGACTTATATTAGGATGAAGCTGGGTAACCCGACTTTCAACGCCACAATTTAGTTTACTTTTTATTAATATCCATGTAGGTCGCTCTCAGAATGATGACTTCTTCCCCCTAATCAATGAGGTGTTTTGTTTCCCCCAAATGTCAAGTGAAAATGGAATTGTTTGTGATGCTCCTGAGAACATATAGAAGGAGACGACTTTTGAGTTGATGTCAAATACTTTGTACAACATATAGATTGTTTATTTCCATTCAGCATATCTTCATATCATTACATTCTAAAAACCGTCTTCACTAAAAAACCAAAACCAATTAAATTATTTGTCAACTGCCATCCATCAACTCCGTTATCGCCCATTTTTTTAGGATCAGCCAGAAATGTGTGTCATTGGGCTCATTCTTTTCAAGGATACAAAGGATTAAAAAAATACTATGCGTATATAATATATATACACACAGCTTTTGTCTGATTTGTTTGTTGGGCACTTTTCAGTTGGAACCAAAAACATAGTGGTTCATAAATGACAAAAAAAGTTTTTGGAAAGACTGGGGTGCCCCTTCCAAACTGCAATTAAATTGGGACTAAACATTTAAAAACCGTTATTTATATTAATTGGCGTCCACATTGGTTTGGTTCCTACTCAACTAGTTTTTAAATGCATGAAACTTGGCTCTAAGCCCAAAGCGTCAAATTGTGGCTTTTTGTTATTTTTTCTTAAAAGTATGCAAAGTACAACATGTTTTTTTAAAATAAGTTGAACACAGCTTGGTTTGTTGCACAACATTGTATTTTTACTATTTTCTGCAGTACATTTTTATGATGAAAAAAAGTTATGTCCCCGAGCTTTAACGGGACGTTACCTGACTTGTCTTTTGTCTGTGAAGAAGTGATTGCATTTGATGCTGAAATAACTTGTTCTTGGTGTGGTACAACTACGGTGGTCTTTATGGAACAGGGTCTACTCTTTCCACAACTCCAGCTCCCCTTGTCCTGACACCCATATCTCCGCTGGTCCATTGATCTTCCAGCTGGTGCCGATATCTCCGCTTAGGTCCATATCTCCGCTGGGTAAATGTGTTTTTCTTCATTGCATTGCGGGATTTATTACGAACACTATTCAACGGTGGCTGAGTGGATAGCATCTCCTCGCCTCTCAGCCAAGAAGGTCCTGGGTTTCGAATCCCGGTCGGACCAGGGCCTTTCTGAGTGGAGTTTGCAATGTTCCTCCCCGTGTCTGCATAGGTTTCCTCCGGGTGCTCGGTTTCCCCTACCACTAAAAATATGTCCAATAGTTCTGGCATGTGCCTCCTGTACTGGCGACCCCCGCTCCCAAAAAAATTAAAATAAATAAAACAATTGTAACCGGCTTTGAGACTCCGATGTGCAGTGAAAAGGCGGTATATAAATAAAGATTACTAATTCTACTAGCTAACTTGCGCGGGGTGGATGGAAAGAATCAACCTGGGCGTAGCGTGCTGGTCTTGTATTTCAGTCTCCTATACCACCCTGTACGAGCCCACTGATCATCTGGAAAAAAAAATCGTGTGAATTTACATGATTTTCATGTCGTACATCGGTCCCACGTCATCTGTATTACGTCAAACCAAAATGACTCATTCACATCATGAAATGGTGAAAAAAATCATTTTGCCTCTATGTATTATTAGCCCATTAAGTTTATGTAACAATTATGTGTTGACATTACTCAAATAATTATTTGTGAAATATGAACATCAATGTACCTGTTCCATTTCCTTATCACTCGCAGACTTTATTACTGCACTATTTCCTTGCACCTAAACCAATCAAGCGGATGCAGTCTTCAACTTGGGTTACTGGTAAAATTAAGTGTTGTGCCTTTTTGACCATACTCTACACCTGCACGCTTCATGTTTAAGTTTAAGTTCAGAATCAAAATATAGTGATTTTATTTATTTTGGCAACTCCGAAAAATTACTTAATAATTTTCCTTTTTGCTTTTTTAGGCTGCCTTTCTAATCTTTATTTGTTCTTGTAAATATATGTTTTACACTTCTTTTCTAATGATCTTAGAAGGTTAAGGACCTTCGGACCACCTATGACCATTACAATACTCCCCTCTGTGGTCGGTGGTCCAAAGTATAAAAAATCGC